ACTCATATATGAATGTTAGACATAGAGCTAAGGATTACCAGCCTACAATCCTCTTCAATAAAGAATTTAGGAAACATGAAGTACTCTACGGGATAAATGCATGGACCCCAGGAATGAGAAGGGTCAGGAACTCCCGAGCTAATTGGGAGCATGAGGGGAGGGGAGGGGGAGCTGCCAGAATAAGAGCAGGAGAAGAGGAGAGGAGGAAATGGAGGAGCAGAAATATTGATTTGGAGGAAGAATAGAGGAGAGCAAGATGAGAAATACCATATTAGAGGGAGTCATTATAGGTCCAAGGAGAGATCTGGCCCTAGGGAGACTTCCAGAGATCTACAAGGATGTCAAGAACTGACAATCGAAGCAATGGTGGAGAGGATAACCTAAAAGCCCTTCCCCTAAAGTGTGATTGATGACTACTTTTTATGCCATGCTCATCCAGTGGCTGATGGAAGCAGAGGCAGACATCCACAGATACACACTGAACTGAACTCTGGAACTTAGTTGCAGAGAGGGAGGAATGAAGATCAAAGAGGTTGGTACCAGGTTGGAGAAACCCACAGAAACAGCTTGCTTGAACAAGGGGGAACACATCGACCCAAGATGCTGTCTGGGAGGCCAGTACAGTACTGATCCAGACCCCTGAACATAGATTTCAATGAGGAGGTCTCTGCACTCTAGGAGGCCACTGGAAGTGGATTAGTATTTTTCCCTGGTGTAAGAAGAGACTTTGAGAGCCCATCCCATGTGAAGGGCCCAGACCAAGATTGATGTGGCAGACTTTGCAGAGCCCCTCTTGAGGGCCCTATCCTGCCTGGGGAGTGGAGGGTGGATGGGGGGGTTGGTCAGAGTCGTGTAGGAGGGGTGAGGGTGAGGGGAGGGAGAGGGAGAAGGGATTGACATGTGAAACAAGTTTGTTCCTAATTTGAATAAAAAAATAAAAATAAAATAAAAAAGAGTTTTAAAAGGATCCTTCCCTCTCCAAAAAGCCACCATCGTGTCTCTATCAGTGTTTCAAGATGCGCCGGGACTTGGGAAGACATACATGTGGCCTTGCATACACGCAGGACTGCAGGAGATATCTAGGAATGTAACGGAGAATAGAAAACTCCACGCCTACTAAGGGGCAGCTGGATGGTAAAGAATATACAGGACAAATGATTGCAATGAGCAGGAAGAGAGTTAATAAGGACCAAGATGGAGAGTCTTCACCTCCTTCCTTCATTTTAAACTTGGAATAAAGAGGCAAATAAGTACCCAGTGGTAAAATTCAGCAGGGTTTAAGAGACTTGAAAGTTTTAGCTAAATCGCTTACAGGAGATAAGAAATTTACAGGTTCCCTCAGATCAGAGAGAGAGAGAGGCTCAGGGGAACATAAGCAGGATGCATGTGCCAATATCATTCAAACTGCTCAAGGAACTAAAGATGGCTTATGTCCAGTATGGAGCAACAGCAATTTTTACCCAGACACTGATAAGGGATATTGCTGTAGACGCCTCACCCCTAGGAAATTGAAAGCGGGTAACCAAGGTCAGGAGGAGAGTATTTGTTATAGAGAGCAGGCAGGGACCTAG